AATTATTGCCTCCTGCATAAGGACCACAAAATGCAGCCCCTTGCTTCCTGCTGGGTCAGGCTGGATATTCCCTCCTTCTTTGGATATTGGCTTTCAGGGGTGATCTTCTCCCGTGCTGGTGTTGTGTGTCTGCAGGCTGCGCCATGTGGGATGCCTGCCGTAGCTCTGCCCAGCTATGTGGCAGCTCTTGTTTCTTCATGAATTTTTCAGCGCGATCCCTAGCGCTTGGAAATGTGATTCCTTCCTTACTTTTGACTGCATATCATGCAGACCGCGTGGAATCTTCCGATGCACATCATTAAAAGATACATCATCGAGGTATCCCTGTTGATGTGCTGTTTCCATTTCTTTGCTTTTCTCACGACTGTCTCATCCTGTTCTGCATCCCTCCTGTGGCAGGAGGCAGTTTTTCATTGGAGAGCTGGAACTGTTATCTGGCCAAATCTGCAGTGCTGTCCCATCAGGGGAAAAATATCTTCCTGATCCTTGCTGTTGATCAGCTTGTGTCCTGGAGCATGATAATTGCTCACTCCCGTTATTTTTAAACCTGACTAATGCAGCTACATATGTTGTTCTTCCTTATATAAACACGTAATCCTTTTTTAATCTTGCTGAAAAAATTTGTCTGTATAATATCTTGTGGAAGAGAATTCTGCCAGCTGATTTATGGATAGCGTTAGGAAAGGTCTCCTGACAGGCACCAACATTTGCTGCCTCTCCTATGGAGATGCCCCTCGGTTTTGTTACGTAACGGGCTGCACAAGGGGCTTACTTAATTTCCATTCTATTTGTTTTATACATCTCTAATCCCTCCTTGCTTTTATTTCGAAAATGAATAATCGGTCTGTAAAATACATCTTTGCTAAATCCTCCTCTTGTCTGCCTGCAATCAGTTTTCACTTCTGGAGTTCGGTTTTGTTCCGGTTTTGCTGCGGAGATGAGAAGATCAGAGAAGAGCGGTGCATTAGTGTGAAAGCAGTGGCAGATTTACGTAATACCACTTGATTCTTATTGTGCTTTGTTTATCCTTCGTACATCCCAGCACAATTTTCACTGTCCTCTGCCTGTGCAGGAAGCACCTCTTCATGGCATGCTTTCAGCTGATGGATGGATTTCGGAGTGCCCCAAGCCACCACCTTGCCCTTTATATTACCACGCAGTGGACATGCAGTGGGTTCCATCTGCTTTCCCACTACAGGAGTGGCCCAGAGCTTTTTCAGAGGTGCTGATAAATGGGTTCATAAGCGAGCCTGTACCTCTTTGCTAGTTATACGTTTCTTTGTTCTGCAGGAGGTAGGAAGTAAACATCATCAGCATCACGTTTGCTCCTAATCCTTGCAGCACCCCGCTAGTTGTGTGTGCCCATTTGATGATCTGGCACTCTTCCCCCACCTGTCAGAGCCTTGCAGCATCCGTGGCACCTGAGAGAATTTTCACTTGGCTCCTGCTTGGGAGCAACTTTAAGAAACGAGACACTTCACAACGAGCAGCAGTTGGGAGGCAGTTCTGCCACCATCCAGAGCCATCAGAATGTTGTCTTTGTAACTCATCCAATCTTTTCCCTTCGAGAAGACAAGTCTCACTGCTCTGGAAATGAAGTTGCCCACCTGCTGTTATTAATAATGCATCAGTGCTCCTCATCGAGAATCAGAAATGTTCAAGACACACCGCCAGCTTCCAGAAGACAACGTGTTTGCCTCCAGGAATGCAGAGCGTGGGCAGCGGTGCTCACAGCGCGGTCTGCAGGGCATTCCTTAGCATCGCCCCTTTCGCTCTGGCTTCTGTGCTTTTCAAAGTTCTGCTCATAACGTTGCGTTTTATCGATCGATAATTCCTATTATAGTTATCTTTATTTTCTGTTGGTTCCTGGGTGAATTAACCTTTGGCTTCTGTAACAACAAAGAGATCCATTATTTATTAGGCGTGGTCTGCTCTCTCTGAAGTGGAGAACCAGTGCTTTTCTTCCGTGTCCCTTTTCCATCCCCCCTCCCCTGAACCCATGGCTCTGGGAGGGATTTGTATTGAGCTTTGTCCTTTTAGATGGCAACCATCATCTCTCTTTCTTCAGCATCATTGCGTTGAGGTATAAGAACCAAGCAGCAGTATTTGGTATTGAAATAAGCATTTAAGACAAATATCTAATCAGTAGGATAGGAAGTAAGGTGTTACTGCGTTGTTTTTTAACAGTATGAACTGTATTAATGTTGGCAAAAAGAAAAGAAAAATAAACTTTTTCTTAAGCTAGACTGTGTTACAGATTTGTTTTTCATCTCTGCATACCTTTCATAGCTGTAGTCAGCGTTTAAAAGGATTTCCTTTGGCAAATGGAAGCCGAAAAGCTCTGCTCAGATCTGGCATGTGAATTATTTGTGCTGCTCCCAGGTTGTCCATCTGTAAGCACTGCCAGCAAGGTACAGAGGACAGGTATTCCAAATGTTGAGGCTCTCTCCAGTAGGCATGCTCTTTGTTTGATGAGTTTTTATTATTAAGTATGTTCTTACCCTTTTTTTTTCTTTGTGCTCTGGATGGCCTTATTCAACCAGAGATAAGGAATAATCTCTTAAGGAATAGATGATGTTCAATTAAACCCAGAACATGTTTCACTAATGTAAAAGCAATGCCAATTTAAAGTTGTGCGTGCACACAGAAATGAATCTTCACGGTCCCTCTCCGAGTGGGATTTGGAGTGATTCAATACCAATACTTTTTCACCCCTGCTGAATGGGGTCAGCTTTGTCTTATTTGTCCTTAAGGGGAGAAAACCATTTTATTTCGTGTTTGCAATCCGAGTAGCCTAAGAGGTACTGGAATGAAGCCAGAGTCCACCAGATCTGAATCCCTCTAGCTGGATTTGTTACCTTTTGTGCTGAGAGGTCAGAATATATGAAAGTGCCTTTGAAAGTGCTTTACATCTTCTACTTGAATTCCAGCAACGGCCCCAAGAGAAGCACAAGAGCATCTATTGATTACAGGGTTTTTTCAAAGGCACTTTTCAATTCCAGGACCAAGAAAAGTGCAGGAACATGGGTAGGGTTTGAGTAGCATACTCAGCTAATAACACTTTCTCCTTTCTGACAGTGCCTTCTCTCCCAGCACGCTAGGTTGGTTTTTGTTGTGGGATTTTTTTTTTTAGGGTTTTTTTGGGTTGTTTGGGTTGTTATTTTGTTTTGTTTTGGTTTGGTTTTTTTCTTGTAGGGGTATCTTGGTATCTTTTCTTTTACACTTTATTTTCTGTTTCAGTAGAAATAGCAGCTTTCATCCCTCAGGAGCCTCCTGGCTGGCAAGCCTCAGCAACTGAAGGGCAGCCTTAGATGTAGCACTATGTCTGGATGCAAAAAACACACTCCTCCTTCCCTTGTCCCATGTGGCATCATCCCATAGGCCACGTGGCATCCATATTTCTCTGAGCTGCCCGTGGGCTGTGGTGTGAGTGAGCAGGTTGTTCCCTACACAATATTTAGGAGAGGACAGTCTGTGTGTGCTTGGTATCCAGCCAGCTTTAGGTATGAATAAGATTTTAGTAATATACCACCCTCCAAATCCAATGAAGCAGTGTTAAGGAGTGCAAGGAGATGGACAACTCGTGCAAGTCGTACACCAGCCTCTATGGAGGGCACAAGTATATGGTTTTGGGAAGGATTAGGTTATAGGGGGTGGAAGAAGGGAAAACTGTAGAAGAATCACAGAATTGTAGGAGTTTGAAGGGACCTCCAGAGATCATTGAGTCCAACCCCCAAAGGACCACACGTAACAGAATGAGGAAAGGCAGTGGGGGTTGAGGAAGGATGTGCATGTTTAAAAGGAAAAGGATAGGCTTTTTTGGTTTTTTTTTTTTGAAAGAAGTACTGAATGCTTGGGGAGATAATGGCAAAAACAATTGGAAAATTGATTTGGAGCTGCTTGTAGATGAACCTGGACAAATGCTGGCTTTGCCATTTGGAACAACTTCGTTCTCCAGCAGCTCTGATGAGAACAGGGTGGTAGCCCTCTCCTTTGGATGCCATCAATAAACCTCATTTTCTTCCTGAAGAGGTGAAAAAGATACAAGATTTTTCAGACTAAAAGATTGCAGCTAATGTTTTCTTGTGTTATATTGGCCTAATTTGTACCAGTCTGTAAAATGTACAAGTTGGATGCTTCCATCTGGTCGAGTCACCTGCAGCCAATAAAACACTCTTGCTTTGTCGGTGTTTTCTGCGTAGGGAGGAACAGAAGACCTTGTCTGTCTCCAGTTTGCTGAGCTCTGTATTACAGCAGGCAGCTGTGGGCAACATCTGTCACCCACCCCAAATGCAGCTGAAGGGTTTGCCTTACAAATTGTGCTCAAAAGTGGCTGTGCTCGATTTCTAGCTCAGAGAAACACCGAGATGGGATGAAGGGCTAGCCCCAGCTGGCTGTTGCTGTCACCAGACCTTTACAAGGCAGGAGATCTGCTAGGTCAATCCGCCCAAAGAAAATTCATTTTGAGCAAATTCTATCAACTGGCCTTGTAAGGTTCTTAACAAACATGGTTTCACTTGCATGCATTTGGTATATCTCCTGACAGCAGCACTCTGTGCAGCTGTTCTGTGAAGGAACGGGATGGATTCAGCCAGAAAAATGCTGCTTTAATCCTATGGACCTTTATATTTGCTTTGATCGTGCCAAAGAATGTATATGCATGCATGCTTGCAGCCCCTGGAAATATTTTGATAGGATATGTCTTTGCATGTTGCATAAAGTAATTCAGAGAGATACAGGAGCCTTTTGATCTTTTCTATAGTAGTTGTAATTCATTGAAATGCACCTGCAGCATGAGAAGTGCTAATTATTGCAATTTGAAGCTGTCACATAACTGGAACTGTCATTAACAACGTAGTCCTGCCTTTCCTCCTGCCCAGAGGAATCCCAATACAGCACGTTCCCCACAATCAGCAGGAATCACTGCCGAGTTCGGACTCGGTGATGGTGCACTGATTGATTTATTCCTGGCATCTCACTTGTATGACTTCTCATTTCAGGGCTTCTTCAGTAAACGTCTGAAAGGGTCCATCAAGAGGACAAAGAGTCAGTCAAAGCTGGACAGGAACACAAGTTTCCGCCTCCCATCCCTCCGCAATGCTGATGACAGGTAAGGGTCAGTGCATCTCCCAAAGCAACCTTGCCTTATCCAGAGGCACTCTGTGAAATCTACGTGCAGCATGCATTTCAACTTGAAAAGGGAGAGAGGAAGGGTTGTGTTTTTTTTGTTAAGCTGGCAGATGGATGGTTTTGGAGCTGAATGGTATTTAGAAGTTGTTTCTCTAATTTACTATACATTGTATCTATGATTCTGTGATGCACCATGGGCACAGGGCTGAAATCTTTTACTGCAGTTAACAGCTGACAAAAAAAAAAAAAAGCTCAGTTTAAGCATGTAGACTCAAATACTTCATCAGTATCTGTCCCAAACAAAGTGCACACTTGGAATTTCATGATACAGTACCATTGGATTGATTGGCTCTTACAGAACCTTGCCTCGATGCGTGCAGTGCTGATCTGCAGGTCGGTGCAGTGACCAATGTGAGGATTGTGCTGGTGCAAGCAGATCAGCTCAGCTAACACAGGCAGAGCCCAGGGGTGTGCGGTGCAGTTCAGGTACATTAAAAGTCCTTGCTAATGTCAGGAGATGCTATAGCTGCTGCAGTGCGGAGTCCTGCAAGGAACAGATGGTCTGTTATGCAGAAAACTGGAAAACTTGGTAACTCCTGTCCATCTCGGTACATTCTGCTTGTTTTGCTTCTGTCTGCTGGTTCAGGCTTGAGTGGATTGTATGTGAAGCAAGCAAATGCTCATCTTACACGTTTTTTTTTTTCCTAACTACTTATAAAGTGTCTTGATTGTCTTCATTAAACGTTGCTGTGTGTTATATTCCACAGCAGCCCAGCAGGAGAGCTAGAATGAGTGCAAAATAAGTTGCCCTGTACTTAGGGCTGTGACAGGCTTCTCCAATTTTACACCGTTTAGTGCATTTTCCCTTCTTCTGTAGCTGAGCTGAATTCATTAGTTGCATCTGTCATGCTGTGCTGCTTCAATCAATGGCCCTATCTTCCCCAGCTGAAAAGCAGCACCGTAAAATCATGGAGATAGCAAGGCATTGGGTGTTAGGGGTCTTGTTAACTCCATGAGTTACAGAACAGCCTGTTGTTGCTCCTCAGTCATGGCAACGTCCACCTCTTCTGTTTGAAGTCCAGTTTGTGGTGGGTGTTTTTTTGGTTTGTTGTATAACTGCCTATTTTCAGGGAGTTGCAGCTTTGCTATAAAAAGCAACTTAGTGAGCAAAAGCACGTGAAATAATGCCACCCTGTGCTAAAGTACCTGTTATTTTTACTGTTGTTGGCTTGATGTTTTGTAATGCACAAATGTTTTTGCCATAAATAACATATTTGTCTTTCCCCTGCTTGGTTCTCACACTAAACATGGTCTGATGATGCTTTCTGTTGTACTGTAAGGGAAGCGCTATCACTTTGGGTAAGCCAATAAATTTAGTTATAATTAATACCTACAACCTGAAGAAATAAACATAACAAAGCCACCTTCTCTTTCAAACCAGTTCACTCATTCCTCCTTGCTGCTGTGGACATGAGTTGTGTCATCTAGACCTCACCAACACATGGATTTTCTCTGGCTGTTTCAATAGAATAACATCACAGAATCTGGGACCTCTGGAGATCATGCCCTGCATGGTGATGGCATTGGGCATAGCTGGTCATGTCAATCCTCTCAAGTCTCCTAGGCATGGGTTTAACAAGGAGGAGCCAAGAGAACTGAGGAGTTCCAGTGGCAGAGTCCATGCACAATTTTGGGTGACAGAGCCTTGGAAAACCTCAGGGTGTAGGACAGGGACAAGCTAGGGGTTGCACTTTGCATCCTGCCATGGTTCTGCTCTGGCCTCCCACATTGAGCAGCATCTCAGCGCTGGAGATAGAAGTCCATCTGTGTTCTGGATGTTCTGTGCCTTGATACCATACTTGCTACTAATGGAAGTAAGCACTTTTGATAATGAGTCCATGCAGTCCTCCTCCTTTCAGAGGTACATGGGCTGAAGTGAAGGGAAGGCAAGGGGGGTCATCTGAGAGTTGCCAAGCTACATAGAGAACAAACTGAGATGAAGTTTATTTGGAGATGAGCTTTGCACAAATGACAGTAGCTGTTGCAGAGCATGTTTATGTTTGTGAAGCGTGGTGATGCAGGTGAGGTTCATGAACTGTTGATAAGTTGTTCTTGGATGGAAAATGCCACAGCACCACTCAACCCTGTGGCTTCCTGTGGTTGAAAAGATTGAGAGCTCTGTGGAGTTCTCTTTGCATTTGTGGTCTAATCAGTGCACAAATGGAACACAGCAACTTTGGAAGAACATGGTTGGAGCTTTTCGAATGTTATTTGTGATTTTGCAAATAAAATCTTCACAAATAAAGGAAAATCATTTCCAAGTGAAACTTGGCAATGGTTTCTCCATTTCCTCATATATCTTTCACTGTGTTATCTACAGGTGCCTGAAAAATGCAATTGGTGAACAGACCAGCAGGAAAAATGACTCAAAAACCTCCTAAGATGAGGAACAGATTAGTATACTGGGAGGAGATGAGCTGGAGGGAAGAAGGAAGCTAAAAAAGATTGATTAACCTTTAGAATTATGCTCTTATTTGGGATCTTTCCAAAGGAACAAGTCAGCTACACCTGTGTGTACATGAAAGAAGGTAGCACACAGCAGCTGGCTCTGAACTCACAAGAGGGAATTGCCATTTTCCCACCTCCTGCTCTGCTTGCTTTCTGTATGAGGCTTGATCTGTTGCTCTTCAAATGTCCCATGGCTGCCCCAGTGAGTCAGCCCTTTCCCACTTGGAGCCAGCAGTGCTGGGTGATGTCATGATGCTGTGCTGGCTTTCAGGGCAGATGGACTGATAGCATCTACCTTTTCTTGCTGTGACAAATACAGAGCCCTGGCTTCAAAGAAAGTATTATGTAGCTTTATAGATTAAAACACTGAAAGGTTGGGAGGGAGTAGAGACTGCTGTTGTTTTTCTCATTCTTTTGAGATGTTTGGGTCCTGCTAAGAAGCAGGAGGTGCTTATAGATAAGTACCTGCAGAAAGCTGAAATAAGGAAGATCACGGTGCACATTAAGGCTTGGGGAAGTGTAATGCTGCACAACCACTCCAGATGGTGACAAAGGATGGACACTGTCTGTTCAGAGTCAATTTAAAATAGAAAGGATTCAGGAATGCTGTAAGGGAGTGCTGGAGATAACTTGCAGATATTTTTGCGATCAGATTTGGCGTTCCAGCAGAAAGCAGTTGGCCAGTCTACTTTGTTTGTCTGGGTTTTAAACTTCAGCTGGCTTAGTTGTTTTTGGGGGGGGAAGAGAAAACTGGTGTCCATGCAGAATTGAGTTCACTGTGTCCGGTAGCTGAGTGCTGTGCATGAATCCACAACCTCTGTAACACACACCACTTCCATTGCTCCACGTTCTGCCTGTTGAAAACTCATGTTTAGCCTTCACAAGCCATTAACTTAAGGACTCTGCTTGGTTGTGGCATTGCCAGATTGACATGAAACTCTCAGACATGCAGTGGCATCTCGGTGGGCTGTTGGCAGCAGTTGCCACAAGTCTTTCTGGCACCACAAATCACCCTTCACTGCCTTTCTAACCACGTTCTTTAGGCTCTCCAACCCATGCATTTCTCTCTTAGGTTGTTTCTGTCAGTAATACATAGAAAAGCATGAGGAAAAGTAAAACTGTAAGGAAGGACCACATGAGTGTCTTCAGCTCTCACCTCCATTTGATGCCCAAAGAGGGAGCAGAGATTGCTGAGACGGGCTGCATGTGGTCTCAGCCACTGCGGCAAAGCTGTGCAGACAGCTGGGAGGGTTTTGCCCTGTTGGGATTTAGTGCCACGTGGGAACCCTCCTGATGCACTAAAAGTCATTTTATGGCATTACCCGATGGTGGTGGCCGAGCGCAGGTCCTGCTCCCTCAGGATGGGCTCTGGTGGGCAGCAGGGCAGCAGGTAGCCATGGCTCTGGGCTTCATGGTGAAGCGGCACCGCTGCTCCAACGATGGCTTCTTCTACTTTCGGTGAGTTGTGCTCCTCCCTCCTCGCTTCTTCATCTCCTGTTCCTGAGTTCTCATATTGGTTTGTTGTCATTTAATCCCCCTTTTCAAAAAAAAAAAAAAAAAGAGTGAGTGATTTTTGTTTCGCTTGAGACTCGAGGATAAAATCTGTATTATGCAATGCATTATTAAGGCTCGACTCAGTCAGAGCTTGTATTCATTCAGCATATCTCCTCCTGTCTGCACGGGGAAAAGGGAGGAGTGGTTTGTTTCCAGAGAGACATCTCCTGTTTGGAGTGAGACGTATTTCTTTCAGCCGGTTTTTTTGGTTCCTCGTGCAGCTGTTTGTTTCCAAGTGAAAACTGAGCAACATCCCAAGGGCAGCCCGTCTGTTGGAAGCCATGCTCCGTCCTGCTGCAGGCTCCACCAGCACACCCCAGCCTCCTCCAATATAAATCGCTGGCGTCTGGCTTAAAAAAAACAGTGATAATGATGAAACTGGTTGGACTTGTAGAATTGTTGACCAAGTCGTAGGGTGTTTTGCTAATAGGCAGCTGGATAATGAAGCAGGGTGTGGTGTGCTAGCAGAATGAATGCCTGCACGGGGAGCCCACTGCTGCTGCTGCCCTGTTGCAGACCATGCTGCCAACACTGGGGTGCGGTTCAGCAGAGCTGGGATCCCAAGAGCAGCGCTGAGCAGAGCAGAGAGCTGCTGCTGTGGCTTTGCGAGGGGTTAAGTACTCAATTCAGCTTTGGGTCTTTGGGCTGAGCAAAAAACTCGTGTTAGAATTCTTTGCCTTCACACCAGTTTGTGTTGGTAAAGGAAACGTAGATTGTGGGACTCTATTCCTTTCTCTATTTCTATGCGTTTTTCTGGTTTTTAATTTCCATCTTCTGGATTATTGATGACCGTGCGTTTGTTTTCCAGGCAATACAGTGCTCTCCCTGGTAAGCTCGGTAATTGGAAGTCTTTTGTGCTTTTTTGTTTGGCTTTTAAATAGGTCAGAATCAGCAGGAGAGCTTCATAACCAGAGAGCAATTAGGGTTTAACCCTTTATCCTGCGTGTCTTATAGACAGTAGAGTGCAGTCTGTTAAAAACCCGACACCAAAACCTGGAGGAGCTGAGCTCCCTGCTTACAAGCAAAGTATTCCTGCAGCAGCAAATTTGTGTGCAAGGAGAGAATGTCAGGTGCTGCTGTTGGAGGGACCTTACGCTGCTGCTGGGTCAGGGCATTACCTGGGCTCTGACTTAGGAGGAATTTGCTCAGCTCTTACGATTGCTGCTTCAAAATACATGAAGCGAGGTGAGGAGCTCAGAGCAGTCCTTGAAAAGCATCTCTTCCACCTGCTTTTCCTATTGGAAAATGGGTTGTGGGAAACAGCTGTGTGAGAAGCGTCAGTGCTGTCGGTAACTGTTTGCTTTGAACTCATGCATCAACTTTGCTGTGTGCAATAGTGAACAGAAAAAGCAGCGTGAGGAAGTTTGTCACCTGAGGTTAATTGTATTGTAAATCAGGATTTGGGTTGTTAATGGAGCTGTTTAGCAGAAACAGATTTGGACAAACAACCCTTCCCCCACCTCGTGCATGCGTGATCTTCCTGTTTACAGTAATCTGCTTCCCTGGGATTACCTCTCTTAGCAGAGACTCGTGTTACCAGCAGTTCCCTAACTAATATGGGAAAAGACCCTGTTAATCTCGCCCCTTTGCTGGGCACTGGAAAACAAGTCAGTGACTTTGACTTATTAACTCTGCCCCTGTGCAAAAGGGAAGCCTGCAAGCAATTCTCCTTCGCTCTTATTGATGGCTTCAGAACATCAGATGTGGCTTTTAAGAAGCAGAGAACTATTATTTTCCTGTAATTATTGCCTTTATTGATTGGGACGCTTCTGATTTAGGCACATATCAATGATTTGCATTGCAGATCTATCAATAGGTGAAATGTATATTGTGGGGATTGCAAGTGTGTATATTTGTGTTCCTAAATGCGTGTGGTTGCCTCGAACCAACAGCTTTCCAGCACTGCCGCGGTGTTTATGGAAGACAAAGTGCCAATTCTAAGCCACTTAATCAGTTTAATGAGCTATTTAAGCATGGTAGCTTCAAGGAGCTGCTCAAACAGATCGGCGTTCCTCCACCGCTGGCTCCTGAGCCAGCACAACAGACCTTCTGCAGCTGGTCTGCAACAGAGCACATGTTCAAAGCTAACGAGTTGAGCAGAATAGATGCTCCTGGAAGGTGTAACTCATGATGGGATGTGCAAGCACTTTGTACAGCTTGTCATGTACACCCCTCAGCCCCAACCCAGCCCCAAAGGCTGCTTGGAGGTGTTTTTGGAAGATGCCTCGCTCTTTCTGCTGTCCTTCACTGTCTGGGTCTCGTTAAACTCATTGTAGGAAGGGAAGAGGAAGGACTTTGTCTTTTTTGGAAAGGTCACCTTCACCACATCAGCAGAGCAGGCTCCCCGAGCCTCCCCTAATCTCCTTACAGAGCTGTGCCATGGCAACACGTGCCAGGAGCCTCTTCGTGGCACCCCTGGGGCAGCGCGCAGTGAGGGCAGTGCTTACAGTGCCAAGGCAGCTCTCCGTGCCCCAGCACATCCTCCTGGCACGGCGCTCCTCGGAAATCCGGGACCTGAGGCTTGAGGAACATCTCCTCCTGGATTTTGGGCCTCCCTTCCTCTCCCAGCAGGATTTGTTGTCTGAGATGTAGCCCAGGGAACCGGGCTCGAAACGGAGGACTCTGACATGTGGCACCGCTATGCTTTGGGGATGCACTGCTAAGTGGCTGTACAGTTGTTTCGTGTAGGTGGGCTTGAGTTGTCTTCCTCCAAATGCAGCCTTTGCTGAGAAGGGATTTGCAAAATTTCTCCTTTATTTAGTGCTTTTGTTGTCTTTTTTTTCCCTCTCCCCTCCTCTTTGTGACCACTGCATGCTTTCCTTCTGTCCAAGGAGCTGAGGCTGGTGGTAGCTGCAGGCTCTCAGCCAGCTCCCCTCCATCATGCACCAAAGTACTCGGCCAGGGCTGGAATTGCTGAGAGTTTGGGGCAGGGATGGAAGCCAAGTGACCTCAGCAGTGCTTTCTCGAGAGGAGAAATTAGAGAGGATTTTGCAGTGATGGTATTAAAGTGGTGTATTGTGGTGTGTTTATTTTAGACTTGCCCTACCTTAACTGCAGCGAGTGTTCAATTATACATGGCTGAGGTTTTGGGTTTGCGTTGGTACAGCTGCTGCTGGAACCTGTTATAACAAAGCATGCACAGTGCAGCCAAAGCATTTGTACCAGTGCTGCTGTTTTGCATTTGAAATCAGTGTCTTTGTAACGTCCCACTGATGAAAGCTTTTTGCTGCCTGCATTTGGGTCATTTAATCTATTAAATGGGAACAAAGTTCTCCTTCAGTATATCTTATTGTACGTGAATCTGCTAGAGTACCTTCAGCACTTCATTTTGCACAAAAGAGCATTCAGCTCAACTCTGCTTGTTGGTTTTTGTGACTCCTTCACGATACCCAGGTTCTTGTTAAACTGCCACAGGCTGCCCGGGGAGTGGTGGGGTCAGCATCCATGGAGGTGTTACAGAACCGTGGGGACGTGGCACTGAGGGAGGTGGGCATGGAGGGGTTGGGTTGGGGTTGGACTTGGGGATCTGAGAGGTCTTCTCCAGCCTTAATGATGCTATGATTCTGCGCCTTCAGAGATGAACAGATGTAGGTACCAACGTGAGCTTGAACATCTTACAAAATGAGACCTGCCAGGTAAACAGCTCCTCTTCTGCTAAGCTGGGACAGGTGCTCTTCCTCATTGCTTTGACTGAGTTCCAGCTGGAGGAAAAACGTGTATGTGCCTCGTGTTTAAAAGTAGAAATGCTGGTTGTGCCTAAAGCGTGCTGTGACTTTATTGCAGAAGGTTATGACACTCCTGTCACCTCTAAAATCAGCATCTTTCACAGGGGTTTGACACTGCTCAATGGGAGCAGTGGTCGGGCGGGTGGGAACAGGCTTGTGCCCGGGATGTTTCCTTAGGAATCAGGGCTTACTGGACTGACGTTTCTTGTCGTCAGGCTTACAGGCTAACTGTGGTAGTTGCTGTGAATAAACAACTGGCAGCTTTCTCTGAGATCTTGCCAAGTCTGCTGGTAATTGTGAGAAAACGGCTGTTTCCTCTCCCCTTACTCTGCAGATCACGTGGGCTGCCAAAGCTGAAGGAGTCCCGCTCCCATGAGTCCCTGCTGAGCCCCGGCAGCGCAGTGGAGGCCCTGGACCTTGGGGCAGAAGAAAAGGTCTTTGTGAAGCCACTTCACAGCAGCATCCTTGGACAGGACTTTTGCTTTGAGGTAAAGAGCGTCCTCCGAATAGAAGCGGCGCAGCGGGTCTGAAGCCTGGCGGGGCACTGTTCTCTTTGTAATAGGAGAAGGGGTCTGCAGCCAAACCTTCCTGGGGGTTTGGGTGGAGGATGTCGGAGTCCTTGGGGCTGAGCCATCAGTGCAGGGAAATCTTCAGCTGCTGCGTCTTCAAAGTGGAAAAGTCCTGTTATCTTAGAAAGTATCTAAGCATTTGTAGTTTGGATGCCAGGGTATGGTTGAAACATACTATTGCTCCTAAGCTGCGTGTTCATCTTCTCCAGATTTACCTAGAATTAAACATAGAAATTATGCTATAACTGAGAAATGTGATTGCCAGTCTCAACCTGCTTCTGTTAGCCCAGCCTGTTCCCTGGCTGCTGCAGGAGGGGTTCCAGTGACAGTGGGCATGTTGCTGCACCGTGCAGCGGGAGCCTCTTGCTGTTGGTGTGAGCACAGTGCTTACCTTACAGCACATCCATGCGTGCTGTTTGGCTGTATCTAAACCAGCCAAAATCTGGCAGCAGGCGTGATGGGCAGCTGGTCTGGTCTGTCTGCTGCAGGGTTGCTCAGATGTGTACCTTCTGGGGCAGAGATCTGTCTGCAACCTGGGAAACTGCACAGGCAGAAAACTAGCATATCAGGCTCTTCTCCCTCAGGGTGGATCCAGGAGCTGCTCCTGTTTGCTTCAGCCTCATATTGCTTCAGTTGGAAGCATTTTCCAGCTTGCTTAGGTTTGAGGTGTGCTGTGAAAATACTGGCAGCATCAGAGCTCAGAGGCTGTTGCCTCAAACTGCTTTTTAATTGTGTGCACAGATGAATGGAAAGGGTAAATTAGGCTTTTCAGCCAGGTACATGTAAAAGAACCAAGGTGGCTCACAGCTGCATGAAGCAGGATGGCATTGGATGCAGGGGCTGGTTCAGAGCACAGCTCCTTTGGTTTGAGTTTCATTGTCAGAACATTTTGTGTTTCCCGAAGACACCATTTGCACTGTGTTCTAACTTGTATTAATACAATGTTCTGTCTGCCTTCAGCCTGTTAATAACCAAATCATCTGTCTCTGAGACCTAGCAGGGGAAATTGCAAGTCTTTAACAGCTATGAATCAATTAACAAGTGTTAAAAAAAAAATTAACTGCTTGTTTAAAGCCTTGTTTAAAAGCCTTTAAGAGGAGCCTTTGGTGCTCCTTGTGTGTTACTTTAATTTGAACTGACATTTTTTTTTCTCTCTGCATTTTTTTTTTGGGGGGGGGGGGCTTTTAACTTCTCTGCCTTGCAGGCTCTCGTATTGTTTTCCTGCCTTTTTCATGTTTACTTAGTTGCTCAAACATTGCTTCTTGCAGCCCCTTACACGTCTCCTAGGCTTGCCTGAACTCAGCCTGTCATTTCCATGTTCCAGGTAACCTACTCCAGCGGCAGTAAATGCTTCAGCTGTTCCTCTGCTGCAGAGAGGGATAAGTGGATGGAAAACCTACGCAGAACAGTGCAGCCAAATAAGGTAATAGAAACTACAGAAATGAGATTACTGGGGCAACACAGGTGATACGATTGGGTTTTAGTCTGGTGTAACAGGGCTTCCCACAGATACCTGCTCAATTAATTTAGTCCGGGGAGAAGTCCACTCAGAAATGTATCAAAAGCTGCTGTGCTCTTTTGCATTGAGTGCAGTAGGTTAAAACTTTGATTAATAAATCATGTCACGTTGCTTCCTGATCTCTCTGTGCCTGATTATGATGTTTCAAAGTGGATTTCTGGTGCCATGCGCTTCAGAAGTAAAGGATGCGGAGCTTCAAGGTTTAATGTGGAGGCAGATCTGGGCAAATTCTGATTCTGTCCCTACCTCTGATGCAAAGGGTGGCCTTTTGCTGCTTCTCTATAAGACAACATGTTTGATATTTTAGAAATTTCGAATCAAAACTGAGCTCTTTCTTCTGTGCAGGACAACTGCCGCCGAGCTGAAAATGTGCTCCGTCTCTGGATCATTGAGGCAAAGGACCTGGCCCCCAAGAAGAAATACTTCTGTGAGCTGTGCCTTGATGACACTCTCTTTGCCCGCACCACCAGCAAAACAAAAGCAGATAACATTTTCTGGGGAGAGCACTTTGAGTTCTACGGTCTCCCAGCTCTTCACAGCATCACGGTTCACATCTACAAGGATGTGGAGAAGAAAAAGAAAAAGGACAAAAACAATTACGTTGGCTTGGTCAACATTCCCATGGCCACTGTAACGGGTCGCCAGTTTGTGGAAAAATGGTACCCAGTCAGCACACCTACACCCAACAAAGGGAAATCAGGAGGACCTTCCATTCGCATCAAGTCGCGTTATCAGACCATCACCATCTTACCCATGGAGCAATACAAGGAGTTTGCAGAGTTTGTTACCAGCAACTACACGATGCTGTGCTCCGTGCTGGAGCCAGTCATCAGTGTAAGGAATAAGGAAGAGATGGCTTGTGCAATGGTGCACATTCTTCAGAGCACGGGGAGAGCTAAGGTAAGAGTCAAAATGGCTCCTTCCTCCTGATGATAGGTGATACCTTCTCAACTACTGGCCTGCAGAAAATAGGATTCCTGGGCTGGTGTGACCACAAGCAGCCACACAAGGTGCCTGATGGGCTAAGGATGAGAAGAGGGCCTCAAAAGTGTTTTTAAAGACTTGGCGATTATATCTAGCAGGAAGGCATGCAAAGAGGTACCACACCAACACAAATTAAATTGATTGGAAAGTTAAAGATACTGTGTACTAAGTGTAAGTGGGAAAAATGAGAGCCCACGCTTAAGTATTCAGGAACCTTTTCTGTGTTTCTAGAATCGTGATGCTAGATAAAGAGATAAGTAAGCAAGATTGCAATAGACTGGAGAATAACTTCTACAGATACATCTCCAATACAGCGAGCAGCAGCATGCCACTGTTGATTCAGTGCTAAGTCAGCTAATCAAAGTGAACATTGATTTGGTCAGCAATTGAACAGCTATTTGGAGAATCCATACTCAGTTAATGGTGATCCCACCTGCCCCAAGAATGGCATTAGGACTTCCAGGTGCACAATGGTGGTTCTCTGTAATGCAGTAATTGATGTGAGCCCTGGTTTCTTTGTACAGGTTGTGGGAGAATATCCTGTAGGTTTCCAGAAATTCTGAGAAGAATTAACAAGCATTCAGGTGCTGCCTGCCAAGTGGCTGCATGGGAGTAGTACCAAGCTGTAGCCAGCTCCTTCCAGTAATGCCAGCTAGAGCAAGTTAAGCACCACTGAGCACAGGCTAGAGTTGGAGATGTGGGAAAATGACCACAAACAGCAGTCAAGGGACAGCTTACGTTAGCTGCTCTGAAAAGGTCCCATTGTAACTCTCAAGAGTGTCCCACTCTCTACTGTTCCCCTATTGCTTGATGTAGATCTCAGGAAGGCTGGTGCTCCGTGGCACTGTGTGATTCCCTTGGTTACGTACCAGCTGTTTGTCTGACTTAGAGAGGTTGGTAGCTGGGGCAGCTCCTGCAGAGCTGTGTTGAAATCCTTCTGGAAAGCAGGCTCTGGTTTATCTACCTCCAACAAGTAGATAAGTTACTGTTATACCATTGCTCTCCTAGTGCCTGTAAGTTTGGAGCTCTCTTTGCTGGAAGCATTGAGTTCCTTAGGCTGCCATAGCCTTCGTCTGCAAAGAAGGTTTCCATGTCACACTGCGTGGTGCAGCTGAATTTTGCACCAGGTGAAAATGAAGAGTTCGTTTAAATGAAGTAATAAGGGGTTGAAAAACAACAGTACTGCATGTATTTTTCGTATGTTCCTATTGCATCTCATTTGTTCTGGGTTTTTTGCGTTCATATGCCAGCACCACATCTTGGACTGTGTCCTTAATGGGGTTGTAAATCCTTACTGTAGTGCTCTTCAAGCTGCTGTCACTCAGCCCTAATTGATGTCACATTATTATGTTTCTTTCTTGTTTGTTTTGTTTTGGTGTTGTTTTTTTTTTTTCCCTTGGAGGGCTGGTTTTTGGGTGGGAGGGTTGGAAGAGTTTTAAGAGAGAGTGGTGATGAGGAGGAATGGCAGCTCCTCTGAACTGAATCAGAGGGCTGTAGTGAAACAGGAGTGTTTCTTGTGAAATGCTGCATGTCCTTGCTCAAGTGTGACTGTAGAACTGGGCCCTGTATCAAGAGAGAATTCACTGTATCAGGACTCACTGATTGTTCCCATCTGTGCCTTTGAGCACAGAACAAGTTAAGCCATACAGATACACAGCAGTCACATCAACTTTCTTCCCAAATCTTGAATCACTTCCCTTTTCTGAATTAAATTGTTGTTTTTTATTAATTAAATGTAAAAGCATTTCTTCATACTTTGCAAAGCTGTGAGAGTTTGTGCAGCACTTCCATTTTGGATTTTTAAATCTAAGGTTGTATGCAGTATTCAATATTAAAATGCAAATGTAATATCATGGTTGCTTTCTACAGACTAAGCCAAATATAAAGAAATTGATGAGGATTTCTGTTCAGGATCTAAACTGAAACACAAGCTTGGCTGTAAAGGTTTTCTTTGCTTCTCCCTTTATAAATTGTGATATATAATATTTTTAAATATAATAAATACAAGAGGAGCTCTGGCTGTACAGGTAGCATATGGAGCCCTTGTGCCAAGCTGGGCAGTTATTTCAGTAATTCTGTCTCCTCTGCTTTTCCTTCCTTCTTGGCTTCTGCAGTTAGCCTGGTGTGAGTCTGGTTAAACTAACCTGCTATCTTACTTTTCCTTCAGGACTTCTTAACAGATCTGGTGATGTCTGAGGTCGATCGCTGTGGGGAACACGACGTCTTGATCTTCAGGGAGAACACACTTGCTACCAAAGCAATTGAGGAATACCTGAAGTTGGTAGGGCAGAAGTATCTCCACGATGCTCTAGGTAAGGATGTACCTCTTTGTCAGCTGTTTGCATTGCAAGGGCTTGATCCTGGTGCAGAGAACCAGTCAATTATGGGCCTCGTGCTGAGACACAGGAGGTGACTGACCCAAGAGCTGCTGCTCTAGCGATGCAATTGGAATGGACCTTCCACACCCAGCATTTCTTCATAGCATTATCCCTTGTTCCCACGCTGCATTGCCCCACGTGCTTCTCAAGGTGTGTGAAGAGCTGTCACCACATGGATTGGCGACGTGAGAGTCACAGCAACTCAGTTCTGCAGTGTGACTGAAGCTCTGAGCACCTAGGTACATTTAGGAATGTGTGAGCAGCTATCCAGGCAGCAGAATACATGCTTTCTGCTCTTGATGCCTTTCCTCTCTGCGGAGGAAGACGCTCATTGATGCTTGTAGGAGTAGCAGCCAAAGAAGGGCTAACTTGATTTGATACAGCAGCATCCCTCAGCATGTTTACATCATGACACTGCTTTTCTGGGTGACCTTTTGTATCTCTGGTGTTGGAGGGGTGTAACAGCACAGTTACTTTGTGAGCAATGGTGATTGTTCCACCTCGTCTACAACGAGGTTTAAAAAAGGGTTTGTAACAGTGGGAATGGAGGACTTTGTCAGGAGTGAACCTGCTATCAGGTGCAGTCCAGTTAGGTGGAAATTCCAGGCAGAGGTGTGAATATGAAGTACACATTCCTTGTATTAAAAAACACAATGACTTCAGGACGGTGCCACTGCCTTGGGAATTATTGAGCACACAACTGATATCTCCATAAAGAGAGCTAGAAGGCATGTGCCCCTCCTATGGTTAGCAGTTACCAGCTTCCCACCATCTCTAGGCAAGGCTGCACAGTGAGCCTCCCATCCCATTGTTGTTTCTCGGATGAAGAAAGCTTTGGAAACTGATACAAGAGGAACAAGCTGAGGGTAAAGCCAAGTTCCACGCCACATCCTTTCATAAAATAAAACACCAGCTTGCTTTCCCGGCAGTCTTGCTTGTTGTCAGCAATCTCAGATGCTGGCAAGTCATCAAGGCAATAGTTGGCTAAGTTAGTGCTCCAAGGGTCAGTATAGCTGGCTCTGTGGTTGTGTGTGTTTTGGCTGTCCTGGCAGTCTTACTCTCACGATAGAACCACGAGCACACATCCCAGTGCTGAGCTCCCAGACAGGCGAGCAGAGCACTGCTTTGTGCTGTAAGATTGGAAGTCATAGGAGAAATGGAAAATCCCTGGAGGCCATCCAGCCTGTCTGTATCCCAGGGCAAGGTTGTTCACAGCACTACTAATTCTTGGTTGAGTTTTCAGTGTGCCCAGTCGGTTTGCTCAGATGCCGCATTCTTTGAGATAATTAACAACACTGTGCTCAGTGTTAGCTCTGGAACATTCATAAGAGCATTTTAATATGTGATAAAGGCAGGGCCTTGTGGACCACAAAGAGTAAATTTCAAATGTGGTTAAGCAAAAAAATAGACCCAGCAAGCAAGAGATGAAACAGAGTTGGCTCGTACAGAAATGATGCCGAAAGGTTGGCGATTAAGTGATGTAGATGCCCTCAGCAGAAATGTTTTGGATCCCAACAAAAAAGCTTAAGATGTGCCACCTGCTTTGCTTGCAAGAACACTGCTGGCTTCAGGTGGGGGGAAGCACTGAGGGTTTGTGTGAAAACAAAGCAAGAAGAAACAAAGGCCCCTTGCACAAACAAGCCTCTTGGTGTTAGCTTGGAGCCAGCAAGATCATCTGAGGGGATGAACTCAGAAGGCATTGAATAATTAAAGGAATGAATGAAGGGGTTTGGCATGCTACCATAGGAAAAGCAGCAAGTAGCTCATTCCAGCTCAAAGAAGGGAGTTTCACCTGTTTGTGTCCAGCTTCCATTGTTACACTGCAAGAGAGGGATTTTGAAGGACGAGGGCTGTGAAAATGCTGTGAGATGCTGATGGAAGAGAATGCTGGTAGTACTTACCTAGTCCTCTTACTGAAGTGCAAGGTGACACTCTTCAAAATTCAGAAAACAGTCAATTTAGAAAGAAGAAAAATAAATAACATTGTCAAATATATTTCCTGAAGAAATTATGAAGACAAATAGCACAGGTTCATTTCTGGGGCTGTGGATAATCATATGATTGATAATACAGCCGGAGTACAGAGTCGAATCCTGTTCTCCAGGCTATAAATGAAGTGTCTGCTGGGGTTACAGCAAAGCCATCCTGTTATTGTGCCTGTGTGTGGGGGCACTGAGGGCACGGCAGGCTGAGGCATTAGAGCAGCAGTCGTCTGATCTGCTACAGCAAATGCTGCTCTGAAAGAGCTGGGAGGAGCCGTGTCCCTAACAGCTGGTGTCTGGAGACTATTGCAGACACGGAGAGGAGAAGAGGCAGTTGCCAAGGAAAGGCATAAACAGGATTTAAAGGTGTGTCAAGGAGGCTTCTCATGTAATTACCCTGGTTTGTCATCCTCTTCCTTTTGTCCAGGGGAGTTTATCAAGGCTTTGTATGAGTCAGATGAAAACTGTGAAGTGGATCCCAGCAAATGTTCGTCCAGTGAATTAACAGACCATCAGAGCAACCTGAAAATGTGTTGTGAGCTGGCCTTCTGCAAGATTATCAATTCCTACTGGTGAGGCATCTCCCCTCCCCTTCTCCCCTCTTAGGTCATTTGCTCAGGAGGTGCCCATTCCTCCTCACAGGTGAGGAAACAGTTGTACAGGGAAATAGCATAGACCTTCCAGTAGACCTTCCAATCCTGCCCCTGTTTGTTGTCACTGTCTTGCTGTGTGTGAGACAGGAGCTCAGCCCCAGGTCAGGGTACTGCAGTGCAATATACCATACCTACTGCAGCTTCTGCCAAGGGAACCCCAGCTGGGAGGGAATCCGGTGAGAACACTGCAGCTGAGTTTAGGCTTGGGATAAAAAGCTGAAAGTTCAGATATTCAGGAAAGCTCTCAGCCCCTTTAAATCTGTAAAAATGAGCAGGAGAACACAAGGATGGAAGAAACATTGCCCGAGAGCTTTCTGTTAATCTCTTGTTTCTGAGTGCCATTGCAAGAAGGGCCTTTCTGCTTCAAGGGGAACACGTGTGGAGCACTGAGCGAGGTTAACAAGCAAGATAACAGTTGTAGTCATGGAGATGAGTTCAGTTTGGTTCAGTTTGTTTTTCATATCCTAACACCATGTGTGCTCCCAAGTAGCAATGGATAGGTAGTTCTTAGCTTGTAAGTCAGTGTGTCTGAAAAGGGCTTCGTCTAATAGATATTAAAAGGGATGCTTTAAAGAGTACTTAAGTATCACCAGATTAAGTGAGCATCCAAGAATAGATGCCTAATGACATTTCCTAGCCTAGGGGAGACAAGAGACAATAAATAAAGCCGATTACAATTTCTCACAGATAATTGTTTCAGGTGATTGATCATCAGTTCAATTTGCTATATCTCATTGCCCGTGCGATTTGACATCCTGGTTTATTCTTTTTCAGCGTGTTCCCTCGTGAGCTGAAGGAGGTGTTTGCATCTTGGAAGCAGCAGTGCCTGAGCAGGGGCAAGCAGGACATCAGCGAGCGGCTGATCAGTGCCTCCCTGTTCCTCCGCTTCCTGTGCCCTGCCATCATGTCTCCCAGCCTCTTCAGCCTCATGCAGGAATATCCCGACGACCGGACGTCACGCACGCTCACACTTATAGCTAAAGTCATTCAGAATCTCGCCAATTTTGCTAAGTAGGTGGTGACAGTAAAACTGAAGTCTGTGCCCCTAGGGCTGCAAGCAGCTGGAGGTTGCAGTGGAGTGAGGAGAGCAGGGTTTGGTAGTGGTGTCTGCACACAGCAGGTTGAAGTCAGCTTTAGAAATGGAAGAAAGTTCTCACTTAGATGTGAAGCCTGGGGACACCTCTTCACATGCAGATTTGGGCTGTGTTGAACTGTAGAGGGACACCATACAAACCCAAGAGCATTGTGCATTAGCATGTCAGTGTATATTCTATTTCAAAAGAAGAAAGACTCTTCCCACCAAGGGACTTGACTTTCCCCCTCTCCTCCAAAATTCCTAGCTGAATGGTAACAAGGGCATGTCTCTTGCAGGGGAGGGAGTGCAGAGAAGGGGAGGAGCAAACAGATTGCTGTGGGAGGGAGAGATGGGCTGAGCCCCTTGTTCTTATCACAACCAGTGAGTTATTGGTGTTTAAACATGGCCAAAAGCAGTGAATCCCTTAAATGGTGTACCCCACTCTTTTTTTTCCTCCCAGATCCGATCTTTAGAAAGGGAGATCTGAAGTTAAGCATGTAAATAACTGTCTGCAAGCACTCGTGCTCTGTATTTTGTACTTTGTATGGAAGTTGTTGACTGGATGTTCCCCCACTCTCCTTTCTTGCAGGTTTGGTAACAAGGAAGAGTACATGGCTTTCATGAACGACTTTCTGGAACATGAGTGGGGGGGAATGAAGCGATTTCTCCTGGAGATCTCTAATCCAGATACCATCTCAAACATGCCTGGATTTGAAGGCTATATCGACCTGGGCAGAGAGCTCTCAGTTTTGCATTCCCTCTTATGGGAGGTTGTGTCCCAACTTGATAAGGTAAAGCAGGCTGGAGGCTGGAGGGTGAATCCGGCGATTGTATCATAGCAACTGTAAACACTGGGAAACATCAAGGGAGCAGCTGAAGCCTGCACTGGGGATAACGTATTCAACAGCTTCAGAGAGGAATGTGTGATAGTGGTATTTCACAACTGCTCTTTCTCTGATTCTTCATCAGAGCATGTGAAGTGGTTGGCTCCAGCAGTAGTGCAAACATTTTGCAGAGCCTGAAGTAAGGCTGGATGTTAAAAGTGGAGAAGGCAGCACTTAAAAATGGGTCTGGAATTCTCTGAGCAGCCAGGTTCCTCATAAGTGATCTGGGAAAAAGGGAGGGAGGAGGGCGTATGGGCAGGAAGTAAAAATGTTGTAGCCCTTGTTGATGCTCCTCTGGTGCAGGAATGTGCTGGCCAGGCAGAACCGTTCGTGTTCAACTCCTGATCCAAAGCCAGTGAGATGGTCTCATTTCTGCAGTCTTCAGATTAGGTTTTAGTAGGTAAGAGGGTGCCATGTAAAGAGCTGGTTCGACTCTCAGCTTTATCCTGTAACAAAGGCAAGGTGCTTTCTGCCTCTGCATCACGCTGGGATCAGATGGCTTTTCCAGACTCCGTTCTGCTGATCACAACAGATGCTCATTGCCAACAGGAAGCATCGTTTCCATTTAGCTATAGAAAGAGAAGAGGCATTTGTTTGCTGCGTGGCTTTCCAGGATCCCAAATCATTAAAAGCTTGATAACAAAGGTAGTTGATAAGGAACCACTCCATATTTTATCTTCAGAGGTGCATTATTTTGTCCATATTCTGTTTGTATCATTCTGTTTCTTTTGAAACTGGAGAGGTGAGGTGAGTTGCAGTGCACTCTTCCTGTTTTTATTACCCTCAGGTTTGCCAAAACAGTGATTTGTTGGATACCTCGTTCTTCACAGTACATTCTTTAAAAGAAAAATGAAAAAATTTGAGCTTGTTGCATCAGAGTGAACAGAAATGTCCTTGTCTTGAAAAGACAATACGTATTAATTGTCATTTGCTAACAATTTATGGCCTTGTTTGCCACTTTAGTTCCTACATACACACAGCGTACGTTCAGAATGTCACAGGCAGTAAGGTCTGCTCTGAAAGCAGCTCAGCAGCCTTAGGAAAACAAGCAAAGGGAACACTCAGAAGACCATTCCTCCATTTCTCTAGGTTGTGGTGAACTTATGAATGCCAGTCAGGTGTCAGGTCAAGAGAAACCCAGCTCCAGTCTTTAGAACTGCAAATGCATCCTTGCATTCAGTTCCTGTGAGCTGCTCTTGCAATGCAGATGGTGTAAATGCTGAGGAGAGGGAGGAGCCACACCTGGCTGGGCCATCAAAGCAGATCTGCTTTGCCCTTCCTGTGGGTTAGATGCACAGATCTGTCCCAACAGTGGTTTGCTAAAAGAAGAATTAAGGGGTGAAGTTATGTTGCAGTGCTGCTTTACTGCAGGTAAACGACTGGGAAACGATGAGAGAAGTCAGCTCTGAGATTTTAATAGACACAGAAATAGTGCTGGGTGATAGTGTCTGTAAAGATACCTCTCCTTGGAGTCAAGCTGGCTGAATATCTGCCTGCAGGAAAAATACGGATGTCTTTGAAGGGAGCGGTTCTTGTGGCAGGGCTTTACCTAATGATAAACCTCCAGCATTTCCCCTTCTTCCTTCAGAGCCACGAGCCTGAAGATGCCCTACAGGTTGTATAGCCAGTGACCCAAAGGGAAAGAGAGGCAGCCTGAATGAGCAGCTTCCAGGGTCGGCTGCCCTCCCCTAGGCCCAGCCAGCACTGAGCAAAGGGTGTGTACACCTTTAATCCCAGGCTGATGTGATAATGTGGGGACGAGGATCGCTGATGTTTTCATGAAGTCACTCTTAAGTAGGGAAGAACGCCTTAGTTTTTGATAACAGGTTGCTACGGAAGTTGGCATCAGTGCAGGATGCCAAAAGGCAAATGAAAACTTTCCCTTCTCCCATCTCCCCCAACCCTTGCAGTCCTGCCATGATCCCCGTGAATGCCGCGCACCCCTTTGTCTGTTGGCATGCATTTCCTTCACCACATGACACCCTTTGCCTGGAAAGTTCCCCCACCAGCTGAATCTGTAGTCTGCGAATGCCCTTTCATGAATAGATACCATAGTTTTCACTTTGACCTCACCCAGCCTGGACTTAGTTTGCTTTGCATGAGAGTTTTGCATTGGAATGGCCATAGTTTTGTTTTGTTGAGCATGATTTTTTTTTTTTTTTAATTTTTGGAGGTCAATCCTAATTTCTTTTCTATTTCCTTTTCTTTCCTCAATGTCTGCTGCACCCCGTTTCGTCTCCTCCATCCATCTCGTCGCCGTGGTCACCCTGCTCCGTAACACTGCCTTACGGTCCTGGCACACCCACACACAACCACCCACCTTCCTTCCTTCCACCTCCACCCCTCCGCCTCTGTGCATCGTTATCAAAAACTGGCGGATGTCGCGGTGCTTGTTGTCCAATTAGGGTGAAAATTCCTTCCTACAGGCGACCGTGGCAAAACTGGGACCTCTTCCTCGTATTCTTGCTGACATCACCAAATCAATGACCAACCCTACGCCAATACAGCAGCAGCTGAGGCGTTTCACTGAGCACAGCTCTAGTCCAAACGTCAGTGGCAGTCTCTCCTCAGGGCTTCAGAAGATATTCGAGGACCCCACTGATGGGTATGTAACAGCCAGAGCCCGAGGGGACACTGGGGGCACGGGGAGCTGATAGGGACCGACCTGCAGCTGCATCTGTGGGAGCTTCACACAGCTCCTGTTGGGTTCTGAGATGTGCAAAGCTTTGGTGCAGGGTTAAAGGGGATCGGGAACCTCTCTGAAGTCTTGCTGGAAAGGGAGGTGTGTAAGGGGTGGATTTGGTGGGAATAGTTTGTGTTCCACCTGTGAAAAATAAAGATGAAGCGCTCTTGAATCGAGCTTAATTTTCAAAGATGCAAGCGGTAATTAAGGAAGGCTGTGTTCTGACTTGAACACAGATTGCTCATAAAAGGAAATCCAGTCCCTTGAAGCTTTTGGAGTAGACGGGGAGGTTTGATTGAGGTAAAGAGGTTCCTCTGGAACAGATCTCTGAGGGTCTTGGCTGCTTAAAAATTAACCAAACTCCTTTCCACTCCACAGTGACTTGCATAAACTGAAGTCTCCAACCCAGGAAAACATAGATGGATATTTCAGGGGCAAGACCTTGCTGTTGGTTCAGCAGGCGTCCACCCAGAGCATGACTTACTCGGATAAGGACGAAAGAGAGAGCATCTTGCCCAACGGACGTAGCATCTCCCTCATGGACCTGCAGGATCCCCACCCCGCTCACAGCGACCACGCTTCCATGATGCACGACGTGCCTTTGCGCTTGGCCGGCAGCCAGCTCTCCATCACCCAAGTGGCAAACATCAAACAGCTGTGGGAGACTCAGAGCACGCCCCAAAGCGCTCCCCAGGTGAGGAGGCCGTTGCACCCAGCTTTGAACCAACAGGGCAGCCTCCAGCCTCTGTCATTCCAGAACCCGGTGTACCACCTCAACAACCCGCCCGCGCCGATGCCCAAGGCCTCCGTGGACTCCAGCCTGGAGAACCTGAGCACCGCCAGCTCCCGGAGCCGAAGCAACAGCGAAGACTTCAAGCTCAGCGGGCCCAGCAACAGCAGCATGGAGGACTTCACCAAGCGCAGCACGCAGAGCGAGGACTTCTCTAGGCGGCACACGGTCCCGGATAAGCACGTCCCCATCGCCTTGCCCCGCCAGAACAGCAGCAGCCAGGCACAGATCCGCAAAATGGACCAGGCTGGGTTAGGGGCCAGGGCCAAAGCGCCGCAGTCGCTGCCGCACAGCGCGTCCCTGCGCAGCACGGGCAGCATGTCGGCCGTGTCGGGGGCCGTGGTGACTGAGCCCATCCAGAACGGCAGCCGCTCCCGGCAGCAGTCCTCGTCCTCTAGGGAGAGCCCTGTCCCGAAGGTGAGGGCTATTCAGAGGCAGCAAACGCAGCAGGTAAGGAAAGTCTCCGCCCAGGCGTTTCGTGCTCTGGTATTCAACTGATCGCTGCACTGACCATCAAAGCTTTTTGGTGCGACGCTGCTGCCCAGGGCTGTGGTTGCCCCGTCCCTGGAGGTGCCTCAGGCTGTGGATGGACCCTGGGCAGCCTGAGCTGAGTGCAGCCAGCCCACAGGGTGATCTTTGAGGTCCCTTCCAACCTAAGCTATTCTGTGACCTAAATTGAGCTGAATCATACTGGCTGACAGTGGCGCTTAGCCTTGCTACTGGCCACAAATTGCCAACTCGTTACCATTACAAACCCAGCAGACCTACTTTACCTATTATTTTGGATGCTTTTGTACAGAAGCTTAACGAAAATGTTTTTCGTTTACTAAGGCAGCAGCACGCCTGCTGAAAGAAACAGCACTTGAACATTTCCCCAAATAATAAAGTAGCAGAAGCTTTGTTCTAAGTCACAGTTAAGATTGCCAGAGGTGAATGCATTTGCCCTGTGGTGCTAATTTAAAAGCATAGCTACCTAAAAAAAAGGAATAAACAAAGACTAAATATCCTGGAATGAAGTGCTGCCAAAATAATAAATAAGTAGAGGTGTCTTAAGTGTGGAGAGACTGCATGCATTTCACCGTGATGCACCAACCTACCACTGGCCCCAAATAAATCCTGCTTTTTCATTAATCGTCCCAAACTGTGAGTAATGCAAACACTTTGTGGAAAGGAGTGTTTACATGTACCAGTTCCTAATGTGTTTTATCAGTTGCTGGTAGGCAGCTGTAAATCAGGATTTTCTTGTCAGAAAGCCAGCATTCCCTTAACCTTAAAAAAAATTTCCTGCTGTGATTTGTTGTGTATGAAAAGTATTTGCTAGATCAGTGCAATGTTAAAGAGAAAAGGAAGTATCTAAATGCTTGATGCTATGGTGAGTGTAGGAAGTGTCTTGATTGTGGGTCAGAGGGAAGGTGGTTGGTTTCAGGAACGTCCTATAGCCTATGGCTAGGCAGGGAGCGGCTCACCAAGGAAACACCTGTGCTGTTCCTTGGGTTGAGTGTATTCTTCTGTGGTCAATGCAGGAGTAAAGACGTGGGGCTTTGATTTACCTGACCTGCTTTTGAAGGACATTTTAATGTCCCACAGGACCTTCTATGAAGGATGCTGCTGCCCTCGTGCACACAGGCATGAGGGAGGAGTTCAGCTCCAGAAAGTCACCGTCACTGAGGCTGCACTGTGCTGCCCATGCAGCTGCATCCCTGCTGGAGCAGAAGCACTGCTGCAGCCACGGTTGAGCAGGGGAAGCTTTGGGCTTGTAAGGCAAAGCTGGCAGAGGAACTCTGCTGCCAGCACAGGCTCCTGGGGGCTTTGCTGCTGTCCTTGCTGGCGTAGCTGTCTTGGCCAACTCCTCTGAACGGTGCAGTTTAAAGGTAGACAGTCTAACTAGTGCCTGGGAACCGAGAGCAACCAGGGCTCCAGAACTGAGGTACGAGATGAGAAGCACTGAATCACAAAGCAGAGGCTGCTATGCCAAGTTGCTCATACCAGAAACGTAATTACTCATTGTCTGAAGTGCTTGCGTTTGCGTCCTTCTTTTGAGTGTGTGTTTCACATTCAGGCATGGATGGGGTGACAGGTTAAGTGCATTGAGTACAACTGAGCCTAGTGCAGAGACGGTAGGAAATGTGCAGGCCAGGAATGACTTCCCTCTGTCCTAAATAAATCCATTACCTGTCTTTGTTTAGCATCAGAGTGGTGTGTCTGCAGGTGCCTGTGTGCTCCATAGCTGCACCAATACCTGCAGCCATGCCTGGCTTCAGGGCAGGCTCCTCCCCATCCCTTGTAGCAACGTGCATCTGCTTATTCTTCCACTCTCCTTCCCATGCTAATTGTTGGCACTGGGTGCACCGGAGTACTTGCTGCTACTTTAGAGAAATCAATTTGTTCTTTCCTTCCCCACACCCCTGTGAAGTGCCTTGAAGTGTGCCAAAATGAGAGGCCAACATTTTATTTTATTTTTTTTTTTAATGCAAATTCCACTGCATCCTTTTAATTGCAAATCGTGTTGTGGAATTCTGTTCTTATTTAATAAAAGAAAGAGCAAAAAGAGACGTTGGGCATGTTCTTTCCAGGCATAGCTTTGTGGGCGTTATAATTATTAGACTCTGTTCTCCACAAGTCCCATTTGTTTCTGAATGCAGAGCGAGGCCCTTTGTTTGCTGGGAGAGGTCAGCTTTTGCCTTCCATTTCCATTTAGTAGGTAGGTGGGAACAGAAATGTCAGCGTGTTCCTCTGGGAGGGAGCAAGGAGGGGAATTGGTTCCTAGCAGGCATTTCTTTTTTTCTCCTGTAAATCATAAACCTTTAGCATCTCAAGTGCTCGCCATCCTCCTGTTCTTCATAAGCCCTCTGAATGTGGCTGCTGGAAGCTCACAGCTCCTCACTGAGACATTGACCTCTAAATGGCCATGCCACAGCGCAGCCCTCACTTTGTGCAACTGGAGGCAGCCTGCTTGGGCACAAAGTGAAGCCACAGATGGGGAAAAACTTGGTCTGTCACATTTCTCAAAATCCAGAGACAGTGTTGCTCTTTCAAGGGGTCGTTATGCTAATTTCTGGGCTTATAAACTTGTCTTTGTCCACGAGAACTGCATGGAATTTTGACCAAGCTTCTCCCGGCCGGATGGAGTTCGGGGTTTCTTTTTGCAGCTTCCTTTCCAGGTTCCCTTAGACAGCCCTCCTGGTAAGCACTGCTGGCCCTGGGACCCTTTTATGGCTGTGGCTGGGTGCGATGCTGCAGTAACCCTTGGAAATCTGATAGGCATCCCCGTGTTAATGGCACACCTCTTGGCACTTCTGAGTGCCACCACGCTGTCTCCCACCCAAATTCCTGCCTGCAGCTCCGCAGCCCTTTGCCAGCCCCCGCCTGTCTGACCTGAGCCAGCTGCATACGGGGTTCATTGCTCTATTTTCTGCATTAAGAAGATCCTATTGAAAGTCTAGCAAAGGATGTGAATGGGATCTGGGAGTGAGAATTTTTCCAGAGAAGCTCACCTAGACAAAGAGGAATACATTTTCTCAAGTGTGTTGGTTTTAGAGAGATTTCAGGGAGGATGAAGTATCTCTGCAAGATAGGGCAGAGGGGCTGTGGAGGCTGTGACAGATCCATGGGCATTTTTCTCCTCCAAATAAACTATGTTAAGCTGATTTGGGTGGATTTCTTTGAAAAATGCTGACAGGTGTCCCTGCTGCAGGTCCAGTCGCCTGTGGACTCAGCCACAATGTCACCAGTGGAAAGGACAGCAGCGTGGGTCCTCAATAATGGGCAGTACGAGGAAGTCGAGGAGGACACAGAGCAGAACCCAGATGAAGCCAAGCATGCTGAAAAGGTACCTTTCATTCTGTATGGGCGGATGCAAGGGCTGCCAGCAGGTCCTGCCCATCCCAGAGCTGGGTGCAGAGCAGCTGACAGGTGCAGCCGTGCCAGTCATACCTTCAGAACCAACCAGGCTGTGTGGGCAAGGCTTAGTGCTGCACATGCTGTCACACTCTGAGGCACAGTGCCATGCTGAGGATGAGCATGCTTCCAGGCTGCAGCATATCAGGTGGCTGCACGTGGACATAGCTCAGGGCTCATAGATTACAGGCTGGTATTTAGCGTTTGCTTGCATCGTGAGTCACACTGCGTAAGTGCATTAGATCCTGCTCGAGTTATTATTTTGATGACCACATCATAGCTGCATTATACTGCTGGTTTTTTATGCTTGCGAAGTCTTTTAGTCATCGTGACATTCCATTTGAAAAAGAAACAACAACACGATTGTTAATCCCAACTGAGTATAGTTCAGGATTTGCAAAGTGATTGTGCATATCTCAGTTAAGCGCAGTCCTCCAGTAGATTCAGATTCACCAGCATTCACATTTTGTCCTGGGTTCTTCCTGAGGTGGACACCTGTCATTGAGATGGCATAGTATTTCTGCATTAATGCAGAAATGGTTATCCGATATTAAATGGAAGAACAAAACTTTAGCCTTGTGAGCAATATATGCTGCCTTCATCCTGGGACAAGTGGTTTCATGCCTTGGTCCTGAGGAATGCGCTGCTGGGGTGCTGCATTAGCCCAGTGTTTGACATTTCTGCTGTTAGCAGCATCTGTCTGGGAACTCCTTGGGTCTGGAGTGACTGGGGATGTTACCAGCCTGGACTGAGGAGCCATGTCAGAGCCATCTGATGCTTAGTTTGTGCATGATATCCTGCAATAGCATAACGCTGAATAGGAGCTTCCACTCTCCTTTGTCAGTGGCTGGCCACAGCTGTTTGCTTGTCATTTCGTTTACTTCCATGGCTGTGTTCTTAATGAAGAAAGCATCGGCCCTAAACAGCAGCAGCAAAGTATAACAATCTGATGTCTTCCTTTCCCCTTTTTGGCTGATCCTTCCCTTCTTTCTGCCTGCCTGCAGTACGAACAAGAGATAGCAAAACTGAAGGAACGCTTGAAAGTGTCGAGCCGCCGGCTGGAGGAGTACGAGCGGCGGCTCCTGGTGCAGGAGCAGCAAATGCAGAAGCTGCTGATGGAGTACAAGTCCAGGCTGGAGGACAGCGAGGAGAGACTGCGCAGGCAACAGGAGGAGAAGGACAGCCAGATGAAAAGCATTATCAGCAGGTGAGGCTTGGGAGAGTTTGGAACTGTGTAGGGCAAGAAGCTCCCCTGTGCCTTATGTTCTCTTTGGCACTAAGGAAGGTAGAGCTGCATGGGTGGTTTGACATCTCTGGAGTGGTACTGCCCTGCCTTGGAAGTGAAAGAACTGAGATATGGACATGGAAACTCGCCTCAGGTTGCCAAGAGGGTGGAGGAATAGATTCAGGAATTTGTCATGCTGGTCTCTGCTGTACTTAGAACTGGTCTCTTTGCTTTGTTTGGAATCGATACTGAAGGCTACATTCTCCAAACAGTTGTGTTTTTGGCTGTGTCCGTTTTGCAAATACCAAGGTTAGCCAGTTGGGAGTATGAGATGGGTAACTAACCTTCCTAGAGTGCAGCAGAATTCTCTTCTTGCAGACCAGGACAATCAGAGAAGTCAAACCAAGAGTCCAGAGTACCTCAAACACTCTGGAATAATGCTGAACTGTCCTAATTTATAATTCTTTTTGTGCATCAGGCTTATGGCAGTTGAAGAGGAACTGAAGAAAGATCATGCAGAGATGCAAGCTGTCATCGACGCAAAGCAGAAAATTATTGATGCACAGGTAAGGAGCTCAGGATCCCCAAGAGCTAAGAGTTCTGTGCATAGAACCCATTATTTTCTCCTATCGTCTTGCCCCAACGTTGTTATCTAGCTCCCAAGCCAGTACTGGCTCGTGGTGTTGCACATGTGACCTACTGCCTTCTAGGAGAGTTGTGTTTTTTAATTAATGCAGACTGCACTGTCTGACTCTGGCTTTTGAGAAAGCCTGGCAACAAATTGCAGGACTGACTGCTTCTCCAAAATCTTTTCTGTTTTTATGAGATCCCAGGGGGGCAAAGGAATAGTGGTGCATTGTATAGACATCGTTCCAAGTGTGGGCCTGGGAACTCTGGAGAAGCTGTGCTTCATACCAGCATAGTTGGATTGCCATGTGCATGCATCTCAGCTATGTGAGCTAAAAGCACGGCTTTGAACGTTCCTGTGAAGACAAGAGAATGCTTGCCATGGAGCATTGCCCAACGTAACCCCATATGTGGCATTTCACCCCATCCGACTGTCTGCGTCAGTCTTGGAGAAATGCCCCCTCTGCCACAAACTGCAGTGCTTGTCTCAGTCGACACGAGTTAGCTTTGGGACGTCGTGGGCAATGCATGTGGGTGTATCGTGTGGGATCATTTCAGCTTTTCTTCTGTGTCTGTGCTGATCCCAGAGAGCAAAGCTTGTCCAACAGAACCCGAGACTGGTTTGGTATCTGCCTGCCACGCTGTGTTTGGAGGATGTCTTTCCTGCTCCTGGGTTTTTCAGTAGTCTCAACTATAAACTTTATGAATAGATAATCTTTCAAAATTGCCTTATTTCAGGAATAACCCCAATTGTTCCAGGAAGTTGTTTCCCTCAGTTGAACACTGTTAAAGCTAGATTCAGAACAGGTCCACCAGAGGACCCCACATGTTTGCTGAGTAGCATAGCAATCCATCTAAGTCACATCTGGAAGATTTTCTCATAGTCTGTGATTCCCTTGGTACGGGGATCTAGCAGGGATCAGACGAGAAGAGTTCTTTATCATGTGCAGTTTGTGGAATGGAGTTGGAACCTGGCTCATCACATCTGTTTGAAGAGAGGTTGCTGCAAGTAAACCTGGGTTTCTTGTGCTTAATGACACGACCACAAGATGCCTTTCAGGATTTAGCTCTTTAGCATTCAGGTGCAGCACCCAACACAACCCAGAGCACAAGGGCAGCCCTGTCCTCAGCACTGTTCACAGCAGCTCTGGGCAGTGCCTGCTGTGCACAGCAGTGCCAGAGGCCCTCCAGGCTGACTGAGAGCCCCCACTGAGCAGAGGTTTGGCAGCACCCTCCTTGGAGCTGCAAAGGGTATTAGCCCAGTTGCTATTGCAAGTGACATCTTCGCTGTGTTGAATTACAGGTCATTAATGGGAATGAGATAATTCAAACAGGCAAGTAAACCCAATCAGTTCTCTAGCTGAGCAGCACCCAGTCCTGGCCCAGTGCACTGACCTCCTACCCATTCCAGCTCCTCCCACTCCCTGTGCCCAATTCCTGAGTGTTAGATGTGTTGGATAGGTTGTGTTTTCCTTCGAGTCAGAGGATGCCTTTACTCACTGAGCTCCTTTTCCAAATGTAGGTTGCCTACAGTCTGGTACAGAGAGCACTCACCAGTGCCAGAAAATCACCAGCCTTTCACTTTTAACAATCTGTAAAGACACTCCTGAGGAAGAAATTTTGATTTTGAAGTACATATTCCAGGTGCTTACTGGAATAATATTTATATTGGAAATTTAGTCCGAGGAGGAGAAGCTTTAACTTGCTGAAGAACACATCTCTGCAAAGGCAGCTGTTTTTTTCACAGGATTTATTTTGGCATGGTGGAAAGGTTAAGGCCCTCATCTCCTCCATGCCAGTGCTCCCAGCTCAGGAGAAGCAGCAGGGTGCTGGGGTGGGCTGCAGCCTGCCTTCCTGTTTATTGACTTCTGCCTCCTCCTCCATTTGCTCTGCAGTACAGAGATTGGTCTCTCCAGGGCTGCAGTGTAAGCAGTAGTTACGTTCTGCTTTGTTCTTGCACCCAACCATTCACCCCTGTGGGGAGGCCCCTTGAGAAAAGCAGGCACGATGCTGGGATGACAATCTCAAGGGGCTGTCTGTAGCACCTACATCCCCTCAGCCGTTTGCCTGAACTGTCCCTTAATGTTTGTGCCTCCTGTACATCATTTTCCTTCCATTTTGTTTCTCAATGGGCTGGACAGAGAAGAGTTCCTACATGCTACTTTTTTCATTCAAGTAAGTTAGTCATTTTTCCTTCTCAGAATGAAAAACGCAGTCGGCTGGTAGCATGGACAGCATGTGGGCCTGCTGCCATCTCTGCTGCTGCTCTGTGTGGTTGCATTTTTAAATTTATTTTTTTAGAGAAGATGAAAACTGCCATTTCTAATTGCACCAGCAGCTCTTTAGCTTGTCCCTTTAGTGCTGCATCCCACTGCATCTAATCTAGGCTGGGTTTTGCCGATGAGTTTTTAGGGTTTCTTCTGATAAATTCAGTATATGTCCTTCAGCTCTGTGACTCCTCTTGCTAAAGGCAGAGGGTGGAAGAACCAAAACTGGGATGTGGGAACCCAGAATTGAGTAGAGCCCGGGAGCCACTCCGAGCTGGAATGGGTCTAGGAGCAGTGTGTGTTCAGTGTTTGTTCTTTGTGTTCTGTCCATGGCATCTCCCCCTCCACCCACACTGCCCTCTTTCTCCTTCACCTCAAGTAACCCCTTAGTTGTAGCTTTTGGCTGCTTCTCTGTGTTGCTATTGCACCCTCACTCCTGCTGATGACTGCAGGCTGCCATCATTTGCTTTTTGTCTTTTTTTTTTTTTTCCATTTAATTTCAAACATACCATCGGTTTATTCTGAGCACACTCCATCCCAACGACAGAGACGATGGCCATTAGATACCACCCGCACTTTTCTCTGCCGGATGAAACCACCACTTTTATTTTCTGCTGCCTGTTTCTGTTTTTTCTAACCCATTAAAAGGAAATATTGGCTATTGTTATTAACGCCAGCACCCGTGCCCCCCTTCTCCCCCTTCCATGGCAAAACGCTGCATTTCCATCTGCCTCGGCTGGAGGCTGTCTGGAGAGAGCTCACCACGTAACTCCGACTCACCATCACTTCCTCCATCATGCCTAAGGCCAGGAGGGCCCGACGGGCACAGCCCGCGAGGCCACGCCACCCCAAGAAAACAGAAAGAGGCAGACATCCCATCATACCACAGAACATTAGCTGAGCTGCCTCGGCCTAGAAATCATCCGGACACACTGTCTCGGCCCCAGGTCCTGGAAAAGGCCCGTAACGCAGGTTGTGGGGCAAAGGCTGTTTGTTTGTTTGTGAGCTGACACTGTTGGCTGTTTGTTGCAGGAGAAGCGGATCGTGTCCCTGGACTCTGCCAACACGCGGCTGATGAGTGCCCTGACGCAAGTGAAGGAGCGCTACAGCATGCAAGTCCGCAATGGCATCTCGCCCACCAACCCCACCAAGCTTTCCATCACGGAGAATGGTGAATTCAAGAACAGCAGCTGCTAACTGGGCAGACGCTGCCGGCCATCTTCCCAGGAGAAGGGCAGGAGGGAGCGGACTCGAGAAACTCCACCGACGGCCCCTCTTCCCCGCCAGGTTTACATGTTGCTGCTAATAAAAAGAAAATAAGAAAGAACTCTGAACGGTGGGCTTTAATTCCCCACTCGAGGCCAGGAGAATCGGGCTCCCGAGAGCAAGTCCTTCCATATCACTGTGTAAATAGAGGGAGCTCTGGGTCATGTACAGAAAACGCCGATGTAATATACCAAAAGGAAGTGAATACTGTAGATTTTTTTTAATTATTGCTATTTTTATTATTTTTTTTTTTCCTCTAGTTGAAAGCACTGCAGTCCTTGGAGAAGGAAGAGGGGAGTGTGAGTGCATGTGTGTCGTGGGTGAGAGAGCTGAGCTGTGGGTTACATTAGATAGCAGCTGTATATATCAGGCTGACTGATGTAAGTGCATGAATGGAGTGAAATAGCAGTGAAACGAATTCTGTAACAAAACTCATCCTCTGATTTTATCCCTCTCTTCTCTAGTTGTCCTTTATCCGAATGCCAACTCAATAGCAAATGTTTTAGCAAGAAAATTGGCTCTTGCTGGCTCCTGTACCCGATTTTGGTGGGATTCCAGCAAAAACCAAAATTCTGAACAAGGCAAAATCTAGGAGCAGTGACCCTGTCTCCTTGCTTTTGCACGCAGTCAAGCTTCCCAGCAAACAGGCAGGGGGAATCTGCAGTTTTCAAGGTAGGATTCTTTTTCCCCTCATTGCAATGCAATTTGTATTTTCTGTTTTGGGAATTTACAGACCTGTAAATACTTTTTATTATTATTATTATTATTTTTTTTTAATTTCAATCCAGTCTTTACTTTGTGCACCATGCAGTGACACCCTGAGTTATTCCCTGCACTCCATCAGGAGCAATCAGGTCAATGTTCTGAGGAAAGGGCTAACCACAGGGCGCCCATGCCCAGCCACTACAGTTCTGTATGCAAAACTTCAGTTTTCCTGGCAGATCTCTTCAACTCTGTCCTGTTCACTTTCACTGTTTCAGCCACCAGCTTAGCCAGTTTAGTTCCAGATAAAGGCAAGAGCTTCCATTTCCACTGAAATTTGCCTTTCTCTGGATGTTTTTAAGGGTTTTGTTTTGAAGTTTTTTACACTCTTATTTTTCATAAGGAATTTTGACTTAGCTTTCATCTCTCATTATTTTCAATTGCATTTCTTAGAAGCATATTTACAGGCTGTATGTCAGTGTGTGTCATTACAAGTACAAAGTGACCTTCTCGTGGCAGATTGTCAGCTGATAAAAGATGAACAACAAATGGCACAGTATTGTCAGTTCTCATGATTTCATCATACGCCCCAATACTTAGTTTGAGGTCCTCCTAAAAGACTCTGAAGTCAAGAGGTGTGTGACTCTTCGCTTCCACTTGTTGATAAATGTTTGTAGCCCCTAATCTCTGAAGATAAACACCATTTTTGCAACAGCAATCTTTGAATTAGATGGGTATGCTAATAATGAGTACGATTCACCATTCAAACAAGTTATGGAAAGTGGAAAAGTTGATGTTGGAAGCACACAAGTGTGCCCTGGGTTATGTCTAGCAAAAAGGAACAAGCCAGTGAGATGAATGTGGGGGTACCTGCCTGAAATTGTGTAGCCTGGGACAAGGAGGAGGTCAGAGCTGATTATCCTTCCTGGCCTCAGTTTATGATTCTCTAGAATTGTACTACATTAAAAATGTAGAGGTTTCTAAATCAGTTCCATAACTGCTTGAGATCGGGCCCGTGTTGCCCTGAACATGAAGGACTGGCAATACAGAGGCTTCAAATTCAGTGTTCGTCGTGGAGTTTGTTTGTTGTTTGCAAATAAATTAATCTCTGTGGGCAAACTTCAGTTTGTAACACAGAACGTTAACTGTTCTACCTTGGTTGTGGTGAGTTGAGATGCTTAAGTTAAACACTGTCATACAAGTATGTTACATTTCTAACCATGGGTAAAGAGAGACCACATCCTGTGCAATGTAGGAAGAAAAATGCTGTCACTTACATCTGAAGGAGACCTGTCTGCAGTGAGTTGGGGTTTATGCTCAGTGCTCAGCTCTTTCCAGTCAAAGCCTTTCTCTGGCTGCCGAATGTGACTTGGTCCTACAGGCCCAACAGCATCCTTGTCTGCTTCTTAGTGCTCAGTAGTGATTTCAGTACTTTCAGAACTGTCTTCCCTCTCTGGGTCACCACTGACTCTGATTTGATCTTCCAAGTGTGCCCTTCCATTCCTTCTCCTTTTCTTACTCCTCTGTGCATCACAGCCATAGGCATTCTATCCAGTGTCTTGTGAGTAGCCCTTTTACAAGAGCAACCCCTTTTTTAATTGAGTATTTGTATGTGATTTGCATCTCCCCTTTGCTGTGTGCTGTAATTTCACAGCTGTGTCCTGGAAAGTTTGTTCCCAAAAGTAGCCTTTGCAAGTGGGCATGTGCATTGCTCATTTAACTTGCAGTGCAGACTACAGGGGTGCTCTGTGACTGAGACAGAAGAGCAAGAAGTCATGTAAATGCATTGACTAGAGCAAGGCAGAAGCAGGTATGTCATTCTGACAGCATTTGTCTAACATGAATTTGAGAAATCCATTGCAGCAGAACTCCCCAGCTTTCCAGTCTTTCATCAGCGATTGCTGCTGAACTGTATGGTTCAGTGCTGTAGACTCCAAGGAGTCCACTTTGGTCTCTGCAGAGAAATGCAATAGGGGCAACATTTGAGTCCTGGTTTCTATAGAGGGGAAATAATGCCTGTTGATACATGAGCTATTTGGGGTGTATCATTCTGAATAATGTACCTTCTTGTGTGCATTTCTTAAGCTTATGGACTGGGAAGAGCTGCTGTTCTGAAAGAATGTGACCCATGGTACCATCCTCACAGCTTGATGCTATTCGATTCTATTTCAATTTCTACCCCAAAGTGCAAAATGTACTCCTCCATCTCCTTGTACAGAGGAGAAGCTGCCCGTTGACCCAAAAGGGGGTGAAGGTTGTGGACTCACAATGTTGCAAGACTAAAATTGATGAGCTGCAGTACAAAATGTTATGTTTCTGAGTTCTGCAGGCAACTGTCTCTCCTAATTTGTCACCAAGCAGCTTTCTAGAGAAATTTTAAGCTACTTTAAGCTGACAGTATGTGAAAATGCCAGCTTCTGTTCCGTCCAGTCTGATAAAATTCAAGTGGTACTGAACCACGTGGCAGCCAAAAAGCTCTGTCTCTTTTGGAACAAGAACCCCAGCTGGGCCCCATCTCATTCTTTCTATGACTAACAGCCAGTGGGTCCCTGCAGCAATGAGTGAGAAGGCAAACAGTGGAAAAATGTGATGATAAGCATTATAGACTGTGGTTCATACATCCAGCAAATTGATCAGGCTTTGCTAATGCTATTGCTAGCAACTGCTGCTGTCATTTAGAAACAGCTGAAGTAATAAAATGTAATCAGCTGTCAGAGTAACACTCCTGTATTTCTAGGTGTGGGGCAGGAAAGCTCCCCATCTCAGTCCTTGTTGGCCGTCACTCATTGCTGTTCTAGGACACTTCCCAGGCCACAGAGCCTTCCACAGAGCCACTCACAAAGCAAGCACAGCCATGTCCTGTGAATGCCCATTCTTTGCAGCTCAAGGAGTTCTCACCTTTTTGTAAGGGAAATAGGCAGATTTCACATCCAGAAGTACCAGCTGTGATATCCCTGGTGTGCTGGAAATGGGCAGCTACATGTCAAAGCACAGATTCACACAGCTCCACTTCTTACAGCTGTCATTTGCAGTGGAATAAATCTAAGCATGAGATCCAGAGGGATGTGTATGCTTCTAGTTTAGAGAATATGAAGTGTGTCAATCATAAATTCTGTATCCATCCATCAGAGAAATGGATTTTACTCTCTGTTCTTGCAGTTGCTTTGGGTTGGCTTAGGCTTTTTTTATTTTCATATATTAATTTCATGTTTTAACGCTTTCTTTAACCACCAGCTTTTTAACTTCATCTGCAAACTCAATGATTGAAGTCAGTCAGTTTTACAGCAGTGCCTGTGGAGTGTGCCAGCAGTGTCTGTGTGCTCAGATTGCCGTGTATGTATGAATTCTGCTTGTGTTCTGCAAAAATGTCTGTGTCGTTTCTGGAGAACAAGTCCTGTCTGAGTTGAACCATTAAGTGTAAATAATAATAAAATCTTGCATTAGTGTGGTCAGCCACAGGTATCCAGCTGAGCATGACAGAGCAAAAGGGTTAAATTTAGGCTGATGCTCTTAGGTGTTTCCTTCTCTACAGTCAGCTGGCTCCCAGGAGAGAGAGCTTATCATTGCAGGTCATGGCTGCCAGGAATCCTACCTGTAAAAATAGATTTTCTGTCTCAAGGGCCTTAATAAGAGTGTTATTACACAGAACTGTTTTGCAATGATAGCTCTAAATAATTTATTTTTTATTTCGACAAAGTACACCTTAAGAAGTAATAAACTTGTTTTTTCAAGCCGTATTTTTATGCTAGTAGCACTGGACTGTTTGGTCTCTGAGATCCATTTCTGCATTTCATTGCCTGGGTTTGTTCTAAAGAAGATTTATTTTTGTTCTGTGAATAATTTTTGAAGGTTCTTGTAATATGTACAGATATAGATACATTTGAGGTCTTTTATTGCTATTCCTACAAAGAATACAAATAAACTTTAACTTTAAACACTTTGGACTCAGTAAACATGTGCTGCTTTCAAGTTCTGCTCTTTGTGTGCCACCCACTGCCAGGAAGCAGCTGGTGCTGCAGAGGGAGAGAGCGACAGGCTGTGGAGAGATGGAGAATCA